AGATACAGCAGCTCAAGGAAGGGGGGGTATATTCCGCGGCCATTAACAGCAGGTACGCAGTCCTTGTTTCCTTTCATTTTTAAAGTTGTCATCAAGTCTGAAGAAAATAAATTATTACTGTGTGCCGACAGATCCAACTATCGAGGTCAGACTCACGCTTGAGAAATCCGATTGCTAGCCGGAATCCGATGGTTGGATCACCAAAAATAAGTCGAGACATAACAGAGTGGCGCCCAAAGAAAACATAATAAAAAGACAGAAAAAAAGAAAAGGAAGAGAATCTCCGGCTGGTCCTCGACAACTAGTGGTGGTCCTGGATAATTGCTACCAAGAGCAAATCGTAGAAGTCCCACTAAGAGGCGAGAGACGCAGCCACGTAGGATGATCGCTGAGATGCCCACGGTCGGGACCCCGACAGGAGACAGAAATATCCTGGTTCGGCGCGGCCCATCAAGGGCGTCGGAAGAAGAAGTCTAGGAACACCTATAAAGACGGCGAAAAGTCAGAATCAACCAAAAGGAGATCAGGATCGGTAGCTTACAACATCCAGCGGTCGTGGTCCTTGTGGAAAAGGTTGCTGTAAGCAACACACATGTAGTCCGGCCAAAGAAGATGAAAGCTGCTGAAAAGAAACAAGAAGGATTAGGAATATGAAAGTACAGTGGGCTGGGTAAAATATTCGTCACTCACCATTCAAACTTAGAAGAAGTTTAGAGTTTTTTTGAACCGCGGATCCGAAATAATGACTCCGCCAGCTACACGTTCCCAAGCCAATCAGAAAGTGAACCGAGAGATAAAGGATATCACTCCTCCCCAGGGGTTTATGATGGATGGTAGCGCAGCCTTTGAGATTAGTGACCAGCAGGATATGACGGGAGCAGTGGGGGGCGTGGAAGCACATACTAGCGACGGAGTTCCCCGCGGCGACCAACACAATCTCACTAGCGATGAGGAAGGGAAGAGTCCTGTGCATTTAGGTAAAGAAATAGAGTCAGCCATTAATTTAGCTCTATTACAAGCTCATGAAACTTACCGTAAAGCGGCGTCCATTGAGGTCTCTGCTTTCCAGAAGCAAATGCAAAAGGATATGATGAATTTCATGAAGGAGATCAATCAGATCGTCCGCCCTACAGTGAAGGCACAGGCAGACACTCAGGAGCCTCCTCCTAGACCATCGATGGAAGCAGCCATGCCTAATCCAGCGCAGCAGCGAGCTGATGGCAGACTCTGGGAAGAGCAACAGAGGGTATGGGCGGGTTGGCATCAGTATAGCCAACCACCGCCTTTGTTTAGGCCAGGAGTTTCAGCGGCCGGAAGTTTGAATGGGAATCCAAGTGGCGGGCATAGGGATTACAAACCCGAGATGAGCCATCCCAGGAAGTGGGGTATATCCTTCGATGGCGGACCTAGGGGAATGCCAATTGGTGAATTTATATTCCGGATAGAGCATCTACAGATGGCTTACCAAGTCACGTGGGAAGAGGTCCTTCGATCTTTTCACTGCCTGGTAGATGGTCAGGCCAAGGAGTGGTTTTGGATGCACGTACGCACAACGGGATTGAGGGATTGGCCAAATCTAAAAAACGCGCTGCAACAACGTTTCCAAACGCTGCGTTCGAACTTCGAGCGTGAGCGAGAACTACGCGAGCGAAAGCAACGACCAGGAGAGAGCGTGGATGAGTATCTGAAGGCGATGCTGAGCCTCCGATCCCAGTTGGACATCAACATATCCGACCACGACCTAATAAGGACAATTAAAGTGAACATCAGAGACGGGTTATCGAGGATAATATATCCGATGTGGTTAACTAACCTGGAACAACTGAGGGAGGAATGCCACGAAGCCGAGAGGGTTTTGGCCAATCGCTGGTCGCGCACATCCGGGATGCAAGAGCACCAGAGACCACCGAAGGAGAAGCACCAGGTTCACGAGGCGTATGTATCCCAGGAGCCAGACGAGGACTCCGAGTTTGTAGAGGCCATTTCCCGGGGCAGAGAAGGCGGAGCGCAAAGTACGTTGGTCTGCTACAATTGCTCCATGCCGGGACACACGTATTACACGTGCGACTCGGAGGTCCTTAATAAGTTCTGCTACAGATGCGGCCGACAGGGAGTACGATTTACTCGGTGTCCGAAATGTCAGGCGGGAAACGCGAGAGGAGTCCCGCTCCCATCCCAAGACGACGAATTAACTGCCTCCGAGGATCTGAAAGATATGTTAAAAGATAAATATAAGTCAGTGTTTAAGAAGATATTAATAAATAAAAACATAAACAAGGTAAATATAGGAACAAAATACGTGGCCAGACCTATGGAAGAGAGGGAACGCGACTATCAGCAGGCAAGGGAAAGGATATTTGGAGAACCAAGGGGAGATAGCCATTCCCGCAAGTCGTCGAGGATAATCCGAGCCCGGAGGCGTTACCAGCACCGAAAACAGGAACGAAGAGAGGTCTGCACAGCTATAATATCAGCAGCTACGACGGAAAACCGAGCGTTTGCCGAGGTATTGGTTGCAAATCATCCAATGCAGGGGCTACTTGATACGGGAGCATCGAAGAGCATCCTAGGAGACGGGTGTATGGACCTGGTAAAGCGGCTGAAACTAGAAGTTTTGAAAGTGAGATCAACAGTACAGACAGCAGGCGGTGCAACACACCGCATATCGGGTCGCATAGAGGTGGACGTTTGCTATAAACAGGAAACTCACCGCATATCATTGCTCCTCTGTCCCTCACTGCGGCAAAAACTATATTTGGGAATAGACTTTTGGCGGAAATTTGCATTAGCTCCGAGTCCGCTACACCGTTCTGAGCGTATCAGGACCTATTTGTACTAACCTCTTCAATGTCACCCACGATTGGCAGCGTGGCGCTTGGCCAAATTAAACCCGCGGAACACTCGCGAAGGGAGAACTGCGAAAGGTCGCGTCGGGCGTCCCGTTTGACCTACTTTGCGAATGAACTTGCGGAGTGCACGTGGAGCCTCGAAGTTTCGCATGAGCCGTGTGCTGATCACACGTCTGCCTCGTTTCGCGATCCCGAGAGAAGAGCCAAGAGGCCTTGCTCCAGGTTATTGTGTGATCGCATGCCCTTTTCTCCTTGTTCCCGCATTCGGGATTTCCAGTATTTTCCTACTCCTGGTATTCTAGCTCCTTACTTTTCTAGTATTAAATGTGCCTCGGCTAAATATCGGTTAGCGTTGCCACCCTGGGATTTGAACTTAGATGTAACTTAATATTTATTGTACTCCATGTAATTTCTCTTAAAACTATTATAAACGTAAAAAGGAACCATTGTGGCGTACACGCCTCCTAGGCGGGTTCGTCACAATATATATATTATTTATTCATTTATTTATACTTATAACTATTTATTCATGTGTGATGTAATCGTCCCTGTGGTACCCAGGTTAGGGAATTGTGAAGTTAAATGAATGTTATTTATAAGCATTTTGTGAATTAAAGTGGAAAAGAAAATGAGCGAGTAGAGTGTTAACAATGGGGTGAGGTGACGCATAATAGACCCAGTAGCCAGTGTCGGGGAGTTGCTTAAAAGATACAGCAGCTCAAGGAAGGGGGGTATATTCCGCGGCCATTAACAGCAGGTACGCAGTCCTTGTTTCCTTTCATTTTTAAAGTTGTCATCAAGTCTGAAGAAAATAAATTATTACTGTGTGCCGACAGATCCAACTATCGAGGTCAGACTCACGCTTGAGAAATCCGATTGCTAGCCGGAATCCGATGGTTGGATCACCAAAAATAAGTCGAGACATAACAGAGTGGCGCCCAAAGAAAACATAATAAAAAGACAGAAAAAAAGAAAAGGAAGAGAATCTCCGGCTGGTCCTCGACAACTAGTGGTGGTCCTGGATAATTGCTACCAAGAGCAAATCGTAGAAGTCCCACTAAGAGGCGAGAGACGCAGCCACGTAGGATGATCGCTGAGATGCCCACGACCGGGACCCCGACAGGAGTCAGAAATATCCTGGTTCGGCGCGGCCCATCAAGGGCGTCGGAAGAAGAAGTCTAGGAACACCTATAAAGACGGCGAAAAGTCAGAATCAACCAAAAGGAGATCAGGATCGGTAGCTTACAACATCCAGCGGTCGTGGTCCTTGTGGAAAAGGTTGCTGGAAGCAACACACATGTAGTCCGGCCAAAGAAGATGAAAGCTGCTGAAAAGAAACAAGAAGGATTAGGAATATGAAAGTACAGTGGGCTGGGTAAAATATTCGTCACTCACCACTCAAACTTAGAAGAAGTTTAGAGTTTTTTTTGAACCGCGGATCCGAAATAATGACTCCGCCAGCTACACGTTCCCAAGCCAATCAGAAAGTGAACCGAGAGATAAAGGATATCACTCCTCCCCAGGGGTTTATGATGGATGGTAGCGCAGCCTTTGAGATTAGTGACCAGCAGGATATGACGGGAGCAGTGGGGGGCGTGGAAGCACATACTGGCGACGGAGTTCCCCGCGGCGACCAACACAATCTCACTAGCGATGAGGAAGGGAAGAGTCCTGTGCATTTAGGTAAAGAAATAGAGTCAGCCATTAATTTAGCTCTATTACAAGCTCATGAAACTTACCGTAAAGCGGCGTCCATTGAGGTCTCTGCTTTCCAGAAGCAAATGCAACAGCATATGATGAATTTCATGAAGGAAATAATTCAGATCGTCCGCCCTACAGTGAAGGCACAGGCAGACACTCAGTAGCCTCCTCCTAGACCATCGAGGGAAGCAGCCATGCCTAATCCAGCGCAGCAGCGAGCTGATGGCAGACTCTGGGAAGAGCAACAGAGGGTATGGCCAACCACCGCCTTTGTTTAGGCCTGAAGTTTCAGCGGCCGGAAGTTTGAATGGGAATCCAAGTGGCGGGCATAGGGATTACAAACCCGAGATGAGCCATCTCAGGAAGTGGGGTATATCCTTCGATGGCGGACCTAGGGGAATGCCAATTGGTGAATTTATATTCCGGATAGAGCATCTACAGATGGCTTACCAAGTCACGTGGGAAGAGGTCCTTCGATCTTTTCACTGCCTGGTAGATGGTCAGGCCAAGGAGTGGTTTTGGATGCACGTACGCACAACGGGATTGAGGGATTGGCCAAATCTAAAAAACGCGCTGCAACAACGTTTCCAAACGCTGCGTTCGAACTTCGAGCGTGAGCGAGAACTACGCGAGCGAAAGCAACGACCAGGAGAGAGCGTGGATGAGTATCTGAAGGCGATGCTGAGCCTCCGATCCCAGTTGGACATCAACATATCCGACCACGACCTAATAAGGACAATTAAAGTGAACATCAGAGACGGGTTATCGAGGATAATATATCCGATGTGGTTAACTAACCTGGAACAACTGAGGGAGGAATGCCACGAAGCCGAGAGGGTTTTGGCCAATCGCTGGTCGCGCACATCCGGGATGCAAGAGCACCAGAGACCACCGAAGGAGAAGCACCAGGTTCACGAGGCGTATGTATCCCAGGAGCCAGACGAGGACTCCGAGTTTGTAGAGGCCATTTCCCGGGGCAGAGAAGGCGGAGCGCAAAGTACGTTGGTCTGCTACAATTGCTCCATGCCGGGACACACGTATTACACGTGCGACTCGGAGGTCCTTAATAAGTTCTGCTACAGATGCGGCCGACAGGGAGTACGTTTTACTCGGTGTCCGAAATGTCAGGCGGGAAACGCGAGATGGAGCTTGACGCAACCGGAGGAGTCCCGCTCCCATCCCAAGACGACGAATTAACTGCCTCCGAGGATCTGAAAGATATGTTAAAAGATAAATATAAGTCAGTGTTTAAGAAGATATTAATAAATAAAAACATAAGCAAGGTAAATATAGGAACAAAATACGTGGCCAGACCTATGGAAGAGAGGGAACGCGACTATCAGCAGGCAAGGGAAAGGATATTTGGAGAACCAAGGGGAGATAGCCATTCCCGCAAGTCGTCGAGGATAATCCGAGCCCGGAGGCGTTACCAGCACCGAAAACAGGAACGAAGAGAGGTCTGCACAGCTATAATATCAGCAGCTACGACGGAAAACCGAGCGTTTGCCGAGGTATTGGTTGCAAATCATCCAATGCAGGGGCTACTTGACACGGGAGCATCGAAGAGCATCCTAGGAGACGGGTGTATGGACCTGGTAAAGCGGCTGAAACTAGAAGTTTTGAAAGTGAGATCAACAGTACAGACAGCAGGCGGTGCAACACACCGCATATCGGGTCGCATAGAGGTGGACGTTTGCTATAAACAGGAAACTCACCGCATATCATTGCTCCTATGTCCCTCACTGCGGCAAAAACTATATTTGGGAATAGACTTTTGGCGGAAATTTTCATTAGCTCCGGACGTCGTAGGGGTAGGTGAATTGTCGTCGATTGAGAATGAGTTCCATGTTACGAGCGAACCGGTAGAACCACACATCCTGTCTGAGGAAGAGAAAACACAGTTGGAGTTAGTGCAGGATAAGTTTCTAACTTATGAAAGACACGGCATGGGACTGACGGAACTGGAAACGCATTCCATACAACTGGAGGCGGGAACAGTCCCAGTAAAGGAAAGGTTCTATCCGGTGTCACCAAAAGTCCAGGAATTGCTGTATGCGGAAGTAGACGAAATGTTGCGATTAGGTGAAATCGAGACTAGTGAAAGCCCATGGAACAATAGAGTTACTCTGGTCTAAAAACCTGGGAAAAACCGGTTATGCTTAGATGCGAGGAAACTCAATAAGGTAACGATCAAGGATGCTTACCCATTGCAGAATATAGAGTCGATTCTGAGCCGTGTGGATGAAACCATTTACATTAGCAGTGTGGATTTAAAGCATGCGTTCTGGCAAATTGAGCTGGACAAAAAAAGCAGGGAGTACACCGCATTCACCATCCCGGGAAGGCCGTTGTATCAATTTCGGAGGATGCCGTTTGGTTTATGTAACGCTACTCAACGGCTATGTCGACTAATGGACCGGGTCATCCCTCAGAAGCTCAGGAGCAACGTCTTTGTGTACCTAGACGATCTGTTGATTATTTCGAAAACGTTCAAGGATCATATGCGGATACTTACCGAAGTTGCCAAGAGCTTACAAAACGCCAACCTCACGATCGGGCTACACAAATCCAAGTTCTGCTTCCGATTCCTGAAGTATCTGGGTTTTGTAATCGGAGAGGGGTCCTTGAGGACGGATCCAGGGAAGATTCAGGCAATAGCCAAGATCCCAGTACCAAAGAATGTGAGACAGTTGAGGAGTTTCCTAGGAACAGCTGGATGGTACAGGCGATTCATTCGAGGTTTTTCAGATGTATCGGCGCCTCTGACGGACTGTTTGAAGTCAAAGACCAAGTTCAAGTGGACACCTGCAGCAGAAGAGGCATTTGACAAACTGAAAACAGCACTCACCTCAGCTCCCGTGCTGATACATCCAGACTTTCAGAGCAGATTCTTCGTCCAATGCGACGCGAGCCATGTGGGTATTGGTGCGGTTCTCTTTCAAAAGGATATGGATGGAAATGAGAGACCGATAGCGTTTTACTCTCAGAAGCTGCGAGGAGCTCAATTGAACTACACGGTGACAGAGAAAGAGTGCTTAGCCGCAGTGAAAGCTGTGTATAGATTTCGCCCATATATAGAACTCTTACCCTTCACAGTCATCACCGATCATTCCAGTCTTCAATGGCTCATGACGCTAAAAGACCTAAACGGACGATTGGCGCGGTGGTCGTTGGCGTTACAGGCATATGATTTCCAAATAGAGCACCGGAAGGGGAAAGATAACGTGGTGGCAGACATGTTGTCCCGTAGCCCGGAGGTAGAAGCCATTGAGGTGTTCGATTTTGAAACCATTGAATTTGAAAGTCCCGAGTATCTGGAAAGAATCCAAACGGTGAAGGAAAATGCGGAGCAGTTTCCAGATTTAGTGGTGGAAGACGGGCTCTTGCTCAAGCGAATACAATTTGTGACCGGGGACACACAGGAATTTCCGTGGAAGCTGTGGATTCCGGAAGCGTTAACAAATACTTTAATCCAGCAAGCACACGACAGCGATACCGCGATGCATGGAGGCATAGGTCGCACGCTTAACAGGCTTAGGCAGTTCTACTACTGGCCCAAGATGGCAATCCAGGTGAAAAACTACGTTAAAGACTGCAACATCTGCAAGGAAACCAAGCACACAACCCAGATGACTAGGCCGAAAATGGGCAAACAAACAATCACCTCACGGCCCATGCAGCAGCTGTATATGGATTTCCTGGGAAAATATCCACGGTCAAAAAGGGGCAACTGCTACATATTGGTAGTGCTGGATCATCTGACGAAGTTTGTTTGGTTAAAAGCAATGCCAAAAGCGACAGCAGACGCAGTCGTCAGATATCTGGAGTCGGAAATATGGCATGAGTTTGGTGTTCCAGAGGTAATACTCACCGACAACGGAGTCCAGTTTGTAGCAAGCCGGTTTCAAAGTTTCCTGGAGAAGTATCAAATTCGTCATAAGAGGACCGGCAGGTATGCTCCACAGTCGAATGCCTCAGAGCGCGTGAACCAATCCGTACTTGCAGCTATTAGGATCCATGTAGGGGAAGACCACACACGTTGGGATGACAAGATAGTCGAGATTCAAGGTTCTCTGCGGAGTGCCGTCCACAATAGCACTGGTGTCTCCCCATACTTTGCCATGTTTGGCCAACACATGTTCCTGAGCGGGCAAGATTATAGGATAGCCCGAAAACTAGACGCCGTAAACGACGCCCAGATACAGAGTCTATCTCGAACGGAGCGGCTTCAACTTATAAGAGAAAAGGTAACAGAACGCATTAATGAAACATATGAGAGATCAGCAAAACAATACAATAGAAGAGCTAAAGAAATCAAGTACCTACCTGGCCAAGAAATCTTTAAGCGAAACTTCATTCTCAGCGATTTCAAGAACAACATAAATGCCAACTTTTGTCGCAAGTACTCCAAGTGCCGCATAGTAAGACCCGTAGGGAATAACCTATATGAGCTGGAAACATTACAAGGGAAACGATTGGGAGTATTTCATGCGAAAGATTTGAAACAATAATTGCAGCATAGGTACATATGTACAAACGTGCAAATACGTACCCAATTAATGGCCCGGCTAACCCTTTCAAAGCGGCAGGACGAATATATCTCAGGGCGTGGGCGTGGCCTGCGTTGAGCTACTGGCAGCCTCAATTGTACTCCTGTTCCATTGACAAGTAAACGAAACCGTAGTGTGGTGTTATGGTCTGCCAAAAATAAAGGAAATAAACCTATATAAAATCAAAACATACCAAACGACCGCGTACCTGGGTTAGAGAGGAGCAACAGATGCCGATACTAGGGATGGCCTGGGAATGGAGAACTGGTCCCGGAGTCGTGCTGGTTCGTGGCGGAACTAGTAGAATAGTGGGCGCAAGATAGTTTTAAATTTCGGAAAACTCTCTCTCGAAAAGGCAATTGAGCTGACTTACAAGAAGGGCAACTAAAGGGCAAATCAGAACCATCTAGAAGCTGAGAAAAAGTAGTCATGTCTCTGGGAACAAAATTCCAAAGTGAGAGTGCAAGTTTTAGATAAAAAAAAATATAAAATAAAGTGCTTTTGTGTTCGCAGCTTCCGGCGCCAAATTCGAAATCTGGGAGTCTGCGAGGAAAGGAATTAAACTGGGAGAAAATTACTGGAAATTTGATTATCGCCGCCCACATCTGGGTGGTGCCAGGTTTTTTTATTTTAAGTTTAGTTTTAAAGTTAATAAAACCACAAAATAATCAACAATAACCACCCACTACAAACTATAAACTACAAATCTACTTATCTACTTCTACATAAATTAAAATACTCATGTAACCCTATATATATATTATTTATTCATTTATTTATACTTATAACTATTTATTCATGTGTGATGTAACCTGTGGTACCCAGGTTAGGGATTTGTGAAGTTAAATGAATGTTATTTATAAGCATTTTGTGAATTAAAGTGGAAAAGAAAATGAGCGAGTAGAGTGTTAACAATGGGGTGAGGTGACGCATAATAGACCCAGTAGCCAGTGTCGGGGTATATTCCGCGGCCATTAACAGCAGGTACGCAGTCCTTGTTTCCTTTCATTTTTAAAGTTGTCATCAAGTCTGAAGAAAATAAATTATTACTGTGTGCCGACAGATCCAACTATCGAGGTCAGACTCACGCTTGAGAAATCCGATTGCTAGCCGGAATCCGATGGTTGGATCACCAAAAATAAGTCGAGACATAACAGAGTGGCGCCCAAAGAAAACATAATAAAAAGACAGAAAAAAAGAAAAGGAAGAGAATCTCCGGCTGGTCCTCGACAACTAGTGGTGGTCCTGCATAATTGCTACCAAGAGCAAATCGTAGAAGTCCCACTAAGAGGCGAGAGACGCAGCCACGTAGGATGATCGCTGAGATGCCCACGACCGGGACCCCGACAGGAGACAGAAATATCCTGGTTCGGCGCGGCCCATCAAGGGCGTCGGAAGAAGAAGTCTAGGAACACCTATAAAGACGGCGAAAAGTCAGAATCAACCAAAAGGAGATCAGGATCGGTAGCTTACAACATCCAGCGGTCGTGGTCCTTGTGGAAAAGGTTGCTGGAAGCAACACACATGTAGTCCGGCCAAAGAAGATGAAAGCTGCTGAAAAGAAACAAGAAGGATTAGGAATATGAAAGTACAGTGGGCTGGGTAAAATATTCGTCACTCACCACTCAAACTTAGCTACACGTTCCCAAGCCAATCAGAAAGTGAACCGAGAGATAAAGGATATCACTCCTCCCCAGGGGTTTATGATGGATGGTAGCGCAGCCTTTGAGATTAGTGACCAGCAGGATATGACGGGAGCAGTGGGGGCGTGGAAGCACATACTAGCGACGGAGTTCCCCGCGGCGACCAACACAATCTCACAAGCGATGAGGAAGGGAAGAGTCCTGTGCATTTAGGTAAAGAAATAGAGTCAGCCATTAATTTAGCTCTATTACAAGCTCATGAAACTTACCGTAAAGCGGCGTCCATTGAGGTCTCTGCTTTCCAGAAGCAAATGCAACAGGATATGATGAATTTCATGAAGGAAATCAATCAGATCGTCCGCCCTACAGTGAAGGCACAGGCAAACACTCAGGAGCCTCCTCCTAGACCATCGATGGAAGCAGCCATGCCTAATCCAGCGCAGCAGCGAGCTGATGGCAGACTCTGGGAAGAGCAATAGAGGGTATGGGCGGGTTGGCATCAGTATAGCCAACCACCGCCTTTGTTTAGGCCAGGAGTTTCAGCGGCCGGAAGTTTGAATGGGAATCCAAGTGGCGGGCATAGGGATTACAAACCCGAGATGAGCCATCCCAGGAAGTGGGGTATATCCTTCGATGGCGGACCTAGGGGAATGCCAATTGGTGAATTTATATTCCGGATAGAGCATCTACAGATGGCTTACCAAGTCACGTGGGAAGAGGTCCTTCGATCTTTTCACTGCCTGGTAGATGGTCAGGCCAAGGAGTGGTTTTGGATGCACGTACGCACAACGGGATTGAGGGATTGGCCAAATCTAAAAAACGCGCTGCAACAACGTTTCCAAACGCTGCGTTCGAACTTCGAGCGTGAGCGAGAACTACGCAAGCGAAAGCAACGACCAGGAGAGAGCGTGGATGAGTATCTGCAGGCGATGCTGAGCCTCCGATCCCAGTTGGACATCAACATATCCGACAACGACCTAATAAGGACAATTAAAGTGAACATCAGAGACGGGTTATCGAGGATAATATATCCGATGTGGTTAACTAACCTGGAACAACTGAGGGAGGAATGCCACGAAGCCGAGAGGGTTTTGGCCAATCGCTGGTCGCGCACATCCGGGATGCAAGAGCACCAGAGACCACCGAAGGAGAAGCACCCGGTTCACGAGGCGTATGTATCCCAGGAGCC